AGTGCTATTCGAATGATATAATTCAAAGAACCGTGCTGTGAAAATGTACCAGCATTTTTCTTACATGAAAGTCCGTGGAGCCCAAACTCTTCGACTGCTACCACAGGTGCACTGATGAGATAGACAAATCACCGCACCTAGTTGGATTCCTACGGCGATGTGCAAGCTTTCCCCATCAAGTAATGTGCCAAGATAATGTTATGGTAAAGCGTGTAACCAGTGACTAGCTTCCTTAGTCGAAACAACTAGAAGGCGGGCCTGATCTTGATAACTATCGAAATTATGAAACAAATCTTTCTGCACACTCCGTACTAACAGATTATCCCACTGCTTTTGCTGGTTAACTTCCAGTGGAACATTTTCGCCGGGACAGAGCATTTGCCATGTCTGCCCTGTCGCCGCAGCAAAGCCACAGAATACTAAATGCACGGAAGCAATGAAAGCAGGCAATGCAATGCTAGAAAGATTTCTCACACTAATACCACCAAATTTTATAGGTAAAGTAGCTTGAGTTCAGGCTGTTGTATTCAAAGTTAAATTTAGAATTTTTTCTATAGTTATTTTAAAATTATTATCAATATCTTTTAAAATATCTGAATATTTCCAGACTAGACTCGAACGAAGTAAGTATGTAAATTTAGGTACCAGAAGATCGGAATGAATTAATTTCCATTAATTTACATATCTGAGGCAATCAAAGAAAATTTAACGAAATAAACATCTGTTTCGAAATTTCCCATAATCCCCTTAAACTAAATGGTATTAATTTGTGTTCCTACATTATTTGTATAAAGATATTTTGGTATGCAAGCAGTTACATGACTTTATTTTTTATTTTTAAAGTGGCTTTACGGCTCTGCGTCTTAGCCATTCTGAGCCTGAAGTTACAATGTATTAATTTTACGATACATTCATCAAAAATTCACTTTCACATTGATGCACAGTTTGTTTACGTTTGCACTATTGATTAATATCACGTTGTTCTCATTCTTATATATCTTGGACGCCAGATATAAAGGAATATAATGGTCGGAAGAATTTTTCATCAGCTAATAAACTTTGAAGAGTATCAGGAACTGTATCATTGTTAATATCTTGAATGGAATTAATGAGGAGTAATCTGTTCAAACCAAATTGACTGCATTGAAAAACCAGATGTTTTAGGTCTCCTTTCGAGTCTCCACAATATTCACAATTTGCATATTCTTTCATTCCCAAACGATGCAGGTGGGTGGCGGTTTAGAGTCGTAATGAATTTTCTATTATTAATCCCTTTTTTGTTGTACCAAGGAGTGGCTGGCGGGCTTTTCTGTATTTCACAATACCAAATTCCTTTGGACTTGCTTATTTTTTCCCAGTATGCCTTCCATAAGGATGGTATTTCCAGCATTGTCGAGTGGTCTGAACATGTTGATGAGAATATGTCTCTAGTAGCAATGTCTGCTTCCTCGTTCCCTGTTATCCCAGAGTGTGAAGGGATCCACATAAAGGTAAGTCTTCTTTAATTTGCTGAGATTGTTTAGTAAGTTTCTTATATTCTATATAATGTAATTTTTTTTGTAGTCCATTTTGTTAGATTCAATAGCTGTTTTTTATATTTTATAATAACTTTTTGAATCAGTTACAATTAGAAACTGTGAATTCGCAATGTTTTTTATGTACAATAAAGTTAAGTAGATTGCATAACATTCAGCTGTTAAAATAGAGCATAAATTGTGAATTTTAAAAGTTTTAGATATTTTCTTTTGTGAATCATAAAATGCTGAAGTTGTGTATTCTTCAGATTTTGATCCATCTGTATATATTGTACAAAAATCATTATCAGCAAGATATCTTAACATTTCCATTTGAGAATTCACTTTTTCTTGACATACAGAAACATTAATGTTCATTAAAGCATCATATTCTATTTTATATAAATGCCATGGTTTACTTCGATACAAAGTTTTGGTTTGGATCTGTGAGTATAAAACAATCCTTAGGATGACTAGTAATCGACCAGATAAAAGCATATTTACATCAATGTATGAACTATCATCAAACTCAGAAACTTCATAAGGAAGTATTTTTTTTAAACTAAATCATTTTATGAACTGAATAATTTAACACAAAACCGTTCAGCAATTTGTAGCCTTCTTAGTAAAAGTGGAGGAATACAACTTTTTACTTCCATTACATGGATTGGTGTAGAGCACATAGCCCCAGTTATTATACGCAACGCTTTATTCTGAATTATATCTAATCTCTTTAAATCCAACCTGTTTGCATTTAAGTATGCTAATGTGCTGTAATCAAAATGACTTCAAACTATACGTTTATAAAGCATTTCTTAGAAAGTTAGCTTCCGATCAAGCAATATACCTAAATTTTTATTTTCTGTAACCAAGGCAATGGTGTGTTATTATATTTTACAAAATTATCATATGTATAATATTTTTTGGAAAAAATGAGAGCTCCACTTTTACTAGGACTAATGTTTAATTTCAACTTATTTGAATAAAAATCATGAATTTGCTCTAATGCTAAATTTAAATTGTTTACCGCTATATTTACATCTTTATTTACAGTATATACAAGGAGATCATCAGCAAATTGCAAAAAGTTTATATTTCTATTTCTAATATATTTACTTATTAAACATGTATATATATTATAGGACCTAAGCACTATGCTCAATGACCTCAATAGTGTTTCCCAACGGATAGGTCTTAAGATGAACATGGACAAAACAAAGATCATGTTTAATGTCCATGTCACACCTATACCGGTAGTTGTTGGGAGCACTAAGCTCGAAGTTGTTGACGAGTATGTTTACCTGGGATAAATAGTCCGACTAGGTAAGTCCAACTTCGACCGAGAGGTCAATCGACGGATTCAACTCGGCTGGACAACGTTCGGGAAGCTGCGACAGATCTTCTCGTCAGACATACCTCAAAACCTTAAAACGAAATTGTACAACCAGTGCGTGTTGCCAGTGATGACTTACGGATCTGAGACGTGGTCCTTCACTGCTGGCCGGATGAGGAAGCTCAAGGTCGCTCAGCGAGCTATGGAGAGGGTTATGCTCGGGGTTTTGAGGGGGTTTAGAAATAAGGATATCCGCAGTACAACCAGAGTAACCGACATAGCCCAACGGATTAATAATCTGAAGTGGCAGTGGGCCGGCTATATAGCTCGATAACCGATGAGGAAGAAAGGTTCTCGAGTGGCAGCCTCGTACCGGTAGGCGAAGTGTAGGGCGACCCCTCACGAAATGGAGTGACGACCTGGTTAGACATGCAGGAAGTCGATGGATACAGGTGGCTCAGGACCGTGCTTTGTGGCATTCCTTGGGGGAGGCCTATGTTCAGCAGTGGACTTATGAAAGGCTGTAATGATTATTATGATGATGTGCTCTAACACTCTTATAACTCCCGATTTGGCCCAAACTTATATAGCTTTATGATATTTAACACATATAGATTACTATCCAATCACATCAAAGTAACATAATCTATACAAATAAATAAAATTGAAGTGTCAGTTTGTAATGTTAAAATAACAGCTTTTTACTAAATGCATTTGAAGTACATACGGTACTAATAACATAAAAACAATTTTTAAAATTTTTGGCTGTCTGTCTGTATGTTCCGGCTAATCTCCGAAACGGCTGGACAGATTTTGACAGGACTTTCACTGGCAGATAGCTGATGTTATAAGGAGTAACTTAATAACTGATGTCAGCTATCTTGATCTCACTGAAATGCAACTTGATAAACTTGAGCGATTTCAAATTTTTTGTATAAGATTGATATTTGGTTTGCGTAAATATGATCATATTTACGCAAACCAAATATGAATCTAATACAAAAATGTCAGATTTTCGTAACAGGCTCAAGTGGTTGCCAATTCGCCTTCGCCGGAATGCTCATATTCTCTCACTTCTTTATAATATTCTTTTTAATCTTTTCTATCCTTCTTACCTAAAAAATCGGTTTGAATTCCTCAATGAATCGCATTTGAGTCATTTGAGATCATCAGAAAATTTGATATTAAAAATGCCAGCCCACACTATCAAATTTTTGGACAGATCGTTCACAATACAAGCTGTTCGATTATGTAATGACTTGCCGTTATCAACAAGACGCGCTGAATCCCTACCGGTTTTTAAGAAACATGTACATGATTACTTTTCTCAACTTTGATTCTATCTAGTTCATTTGTATATAAGGTTTAGACAAACAGACAGTGAATAGATCAGTGATTACGTGGCGGCATTAAAGAAACTATCTAGACATTGTGAATTCGGTGCAGTCCTACAGGACAATTTACGGGATCAGTTGGTGTGCGGACTTCGAAGTGACGTCATACGGCAGAGATTATTCGCGGAAGAAAAATTATTGTCCTATGACAATAAGGCAGTGATTTTAGCGGGATCGCTGGAGGCAGCGGAGCGGGACGCGGCGCTCGTGGTGTCGGGCGCAGCGGTGACGTCATCGCAGGCTGCGGGTCAGCTGCGCGGCGAGGGCGGCGGCAGGGCAAACGGGGGGCTGAACGCCATGCGCGTCGGCCAGCGAGCTCGCCATACCCGGCACAGCGCAGTGGCGGAAGGCGGTGGCGGCGGCGTCGGCGCAGGCCGCGCGGATGTGCGCGGTTCGCTATGCGGAGCTTGCGGAGGTGTTGACCGTGTTGCCAGCAAGTGCAAGTTCAGAACCTACATATGCAGCAAGTGTGGCTTGATGGGCCACCTACGACGCGTGTGTTTCACAAATAACCAGTCGGTGGCGCCGGGCGCCTACAACGGAAACGCGGCGAATGTACAGGGCTTTGGAAAGAAAAGCCGGAACAGCGGTCGCGGAGGACATAATCAGAGACCGAAAACAAATTATGTCAATGCAGACGATGGGGCGCCATTGAGTGAGTACCACGAGGCACCCGAGGAAGAACCGGTGATGCAAATGTCGCTGTCACAGTACAAGTCAGTGTATTTGTGTTTATTAGTGAGTGGACATAACTTAAACATGGAAATAGACACTGGCTCAGCGTTGTCGTGTATTAGTAAAGCCACGTATGAAGATACATTTAATCATTTACCATTATTACCATGTGATTTAGCACTAACCTTTTATGATGGAACAAAAATAAAGCCACTAGGTTACTGCGAGGTTAATGTGACATATGGGCGGTCTAGCAAAGTTTTAGACTTATATGTTATTAATAACGGTACTACTACTTTATTAGGCAGACATTGGTTGTCAGAACTTGATATCAGCGTACCAAAATTTAATGTAAACAGGTTAAACGAATCAGCCATGAATGTATCTTATGCCGTAAATGAATTGTTTTTCAGCTATGCTGAGTTGTTCGACGGCGGGCTGGGGCGCTTCACGGGTGGGCGGGCTCGGCTGGCGGTGCACGCGGACGCGGCCCCGGTGTTCTGCCGCGCGCGGCCGCTGCCCTACGCGCTGCGGGAGCGCGTGGACGTCGAGCTGGACGCCATGCTGCGCGCGGGCGTCATTGAGCCCGTCGAGTGCTCGGACTGGGCGACTCCTCTCGTTATTGTCAATAAATCGGATGGAGCTATTCGGATATGCGCGGATTACAAGGTAACCCTCAATCGTGTCTTATCTGTCGACAAGTACCCAGTGCCTAAAATTGACGACTTATTGTCGCAATTAGGGGGAAGTAAATTTTTCAGCAAAATAGACTTATCACAGGCATACAATCAGATCGAGCTTGACGCTACCAAAAAGTACACAGTAATTAACTTGTTTTCGGCTTAGCATCCAATCCGGGAATTTTTCAAACAATAATGGTTAACTTGTTAAAAGATATCGAGGGGGTCGTAGTATTTTTGGATGACATTTTGATCGCTTCGGATACTATCGAAAACATACATACTTTACGTAAAGTGCTAGATAAATTGAAAGAGTACGGTCTTAAATTAAAAAGGGAAAAATGTGATTTTTTTGTAGAAAAAGTGAAATATTTGGGTTATGTAATGAATAAAGAGGGAATCCACCCCGATCCTGACAAGATAGAATCGATTCTGTTGATGTCACCACCCAAAGATATTTCGGAACTTCGGTCATTTTTAGGAATGGTCAATTTTTATAGCCGTTTCGTGACCAATTTGAGTACCATTTTACAGCCACTTTACGAACTACTAAAAAAGATTCGACATGGAAATGGGGTAGATTAGAATAGCAGGCTTTCACTGTTAGTTAGTAGTAGTAGTTAGTTAGTTAAGAGACGTTTTAGTGACGCGGTCGCGTTGAGCCACTACGAGCCGGGCGCGCCGCTAGTGGTGACGTGTGATGCCAGCTGGCTCGGCACCGTACTGGCGCAGCGCGACGCGGCCGGCCGCGAGCGCCCCGTCATGTGTGTGCCGCGGAATGCAACTACAGTCAGATACAAAAAGAGGCGTTAGCTATTGTATTTGCTGTGAAAAGGTTTCACCAGTATATTTACGGGCGACGGTTTACATTGCGGACGGATCATAAACCGTTAGTCACAATATTCGGTCCACACCAAGGTATTCCTAGCATGACGGCCAGTGGATTACAGAGATGGGCTTTAATATTAACAGCTTACGATTTCGATATCGAATACGTCTCAACTAATGATAATGTGGCGGATGCATTGTCGCGAATGATATCTACCCATAAAGAGAGTAGGTCGGAGGAAAATCGAGAATTTCCGGAACAAACTTATTTACATTTCGCGTCAGAGGCCTTATTAATAGACAATAATAGTTTAAAGCGGGAAACCGCGAGGGACGCGATACTCGGGCGGGTCCTCGGTTATATACGGGACGGCTGGCCGCAAGATATCGAAATAAAAGATATCAAACCATACTTTCACAGACAGAAAGAGTTATACGAGGAACTGGGGTGCGTCATGTGGGGTCACAGAGTAGTGGTACCTTCTAGTTGTAGGGAGAAAGTTCTCGCGGAGTTACATGAGGCTCACATGGGGATCACCAAGACGAAACAGTTCGCCCGCAGCTACGTGTGGTGGCCGGGGATCGACAAGGCGGTGGTGGCCGTGTGCCGCGCCTGCTCGGTGTGCGCGCGCGCGTGGCAGACGCGCCGGAGCGACACGAGCCGCGCCCGTGGCTGTGGCCAGAGCGTCCGTGGTCGCGACTGCATCTCGATTTTTAGGGCCGATAGGGGGCGCTACTTACTTAGTCACCGTGGACGCTCATTCTAAATGGGTCAAAGTCACTGCTATGAGTTCCATTTCGGCAAAAAATTTAATAAGCAAATTAAGGGAAATGTAGGCTAGATTCGGTCTGCCAAGACAGATAGTGAGTGACAACGGTCCGCCATTTACTAGTCAGGAATTTCAGTTATTTCTTAAGGATAACGGTATAGAACACATATTTTCAGCACCCTATCACCCGGCTTCGAATGGCGCAGCTGAGAATGCGGTTAGAATGGGCAAGCGGGTTATAAAGAAGGCACTGGTACAGGGTGTGAATACCGATATCGCGCTTAATAGGTTTCTACTCGTATATCGTAACACCGAACACTGTACTACCGCTGTGAGCCCCGCGAAATTATTACAAGGTCGTTCACTGCGCACACGCCTCGACTGTTTGAAGCCGGAGCTGGGGCCCCGCGTGCGGCGCAAGCAGGCGCGGCAGGCGCGCGCCGCGGGCGGCAGTCGCCGGCAGTTCGCGCCGGGAGACCGCGTATGGTACCGCGATTATCGTAACTCGGTTGTAAAATGGTTAAAAGGAGAAGTACACTTCAGACTAGGAGAAACGGACTATAATATTCTAGGGGTTGATAAAGTCTTTATTCATAGACATGTCGACCAGATAAGACCACGATCGGGGGAGCCGGATAGGGAAGGGGAAGACCTGGAAGTTTCAGAAGGAGGAAGTGGTTCATTATCACGTTCCTATCTAGTGTATCCGAATGGGTCCTCTCCAGTGGTGGAGGAAGAGGCCAGTTCGAGTGGCAGAGAGGTCGCGGCTGGGTCCGCGCCCGCCGCGACGTCCCCGCGCCCCCCACCCGCCGCGACGTCCCCGCGCCCCCCACCCGCCCCGCAGCCGGCGCTCGCGGCTCCGAGCCCGGCGAGGGAGCGCCCCAACCCGCCTAGAACTCGTAGGGCCCCGCGACGTTATGGATTTGATTTTGATTAGTTGTAAGTTAGTTAAGTGATATGTGCTTTATTTTATATTAGTTTAAGTACGTTTAGAATAAAGGTGGAGGTGTAATGTAGGGTAAGCTTATTGTTAGTATAAGGAAGGTAGTTTGTGACCTCCCTCTCTCGCAATAAATGGTTGAACTGTACGGACGTGTTTTCCTTTGTCTCACTTATATACCATTATATATTTTTATTTTATGGCTTTAATAAAAAAAATGTTATTTTGTCAGCAAACCACACACGTTTTTATTGCTTTTCGTGCAATGCTGTCCATCCAAAGGTTGTCTGGAAGAGATCGCTCTTAGCGGACACCCTTGTAGCCTGAGATTGTAACATCTCTTGTCCTTTAGTGTGTTATAACTACTATAGAACAGCCGCGTCAAGTATGAATACTACTCAAAAGTAGAAAAGAGAAAACTGATCTACTTATTTGACGAAACATAACACTAGGGTTGTGTAATGGCAGCGTAAAAGAAACTATCACACAACATTTCGTCCCTTGGATGTCGTAAGAAGCAAACTTAGCAAAAGCTAAAAAGGCCTTATGGCTTCCAGTATATGGCGGTACAGACATTTCGTTTACACCAGGCATGAGCAACCAGACCGACGACGCGACAGCCAGCTGCGGCAAAGGTGCGACATGCTTAGCACTGCGATTGTAAATCCACCTGCCTAGCGTGACGATGTAGGCAAATCCTTTCTAAAGGAATGGCACACGTCCAGAAGATGGCTTTTATCGGTTGATAAAGAAGAAGATGAAAATGGACCATAGAAGTGGGTCACAACAGTTTAAGTCTCGGTAAAGTTCAATAGTATCGGCCAATTCAAATCAAAATAATTTTTGTTTGGCTAAGAGTTCTAACTTCAAATTAATTTTATTTCAAAATTAGTCATTTGTTTATTGATAGCGTTATGTTTTCATCGCATTTGAATCTTTTTCGCCAACATGGATACGTTAAAAATTCGAGTAATTATGGAATATGAGTACCGTCGTGGCAGCAACGCGGCACAAGCGGCATGCCACATCAACGACGTGTATACGTCGTTCATGTGGCGTGCGTGGTCGTTTGTAGTATTCGCTCCGTATGGACGACGTTTTCGTATGGAGCGAATACTACAACTACCGGTTATTGGTCTGCCCGCTTCCGTTCTAGAAATTTTGACCTTAAAGCTTAACCCCGTGGCCGTCTGAAAACTTTGGTTGAAAATGACGAATTAAAGGCGATTGTGGAAGCTGATGATACTCAATCTACGGCTGAATTAGCAGCAACTTTCGAAATAAGCATCAACACAATATTGATCCATTTGCGTCAAATTGACAAGATAGCGATAAGAAGCTTGACAAATGGGTGCCATACGAACTCAAACATCGCCAGGCGAAGAACGCGTCGAGCCGTGCCTTACACTGCTTAACAGGTACACAAACGAAGGAATTTTGAACCGCTTTGTTACGTGCGACGAAAATGGATTCTGTTTGACAATCGCAAGTGCTCAGCAAGTTGGTTAAAAATGCCCTATATGAAAACTTACCCCAAGAAAAGTGATTGGAGGTCTAGCACCGGTGTGATTCACTATAGTTTCTTACCAAACTGGATGAGTATTACTGCAGATGTGTACTGTGAAGAACTGAGCACAATGATGGAGAAGTTCACACGTCTCCATCCAGCTTCGGTCAATCGCTCGTCCATACTGCACAATAGACGGTCTCCAAGCTACAAGAGCTGGGGTAGGAAGCTCTACGTTATCCGTCGTAATCCCCAGACCTTGCACCTCCAGACTTCTACTTTTTCCAGAATTTGGATAACATTTGGATGCCTTTGAAGAATTTGTTGCCTCCCGTCCGTGCGTCCAGCTGATTTCTTCAAGAAGGGCACCAATAAGCTGCCACTGCGTTGGCCAAGATGCATCGATTGCGTAGGTGATTATTTTGATTAATAGAAATAAAAAATATGGAAAAAAGTTACGTCAACTTATTTCATAAAAAACGGCAATTTCATGGGCAAAGGCCTAATATATAATAAATAATAATTAATGGTAAAAAAAAAAAATTATTTATTTTGATGTATGTCAGTTTATTAGTTCCAAAAAACAAACTGTACTGTTTTCACAGTTTTAATATTTATTTACATTTTTACCTTTTTCCTGCCACCTAAATGGCGTTTTCATCAAGTAAGGTATCACGTTTGATGACGTTAATCAACTCATAACTCAATCAAAGGTCTTAGCACCTCACAGCAGTCACTCCCTAGACAATATTGGTATAAAATACACTTAGGTTTAAACGTAAATGACGGTCCATTTCAAAGCAAAAGATTTAAGTAGAAGTTAGCATACTTCTTTCAAGAGCTGTTACATTTGCAAACAACCATAAGCGATAACCATTGTGTGTGTCGCAATGGTTGCCACTTGCTTGGATCTATATTCTTATATCCTTTTAAAGGAGTTAACAGAATCTATTCAAGAACTTAGGTCTTGTAGACTCACTTAAGGTAGCTGTAATCTGTAAAAAAGTTGGCAATAACGTTACTGTATCATAATACAATTTCTTAACGCAAACGATATTGAATTTCTTGAGTAAAACGGACCACATGATATTTATGCAAAAGGTACATTGAAACTTAAGTATTTTTTTTATGAAAAGTGTTTTTCATGCTGTAAGTACTAGGCACTAATAAAAGTCTGTAATGCTTTAGCTTCTGTTCCCTGCTCAGGCTACTCCCTTCTTATAACTAGTTGTTTGTTCTGTATTGGGTTGGCCATAACTCATGTATTTAGTTGTGTCCTGTTTTTAGCTACTTTATCACCTAATAACCGCCAACTCCTTTCCCACCGAAAGTCACGAGAAGCCTCAAGACAAGATGTGATAGACAAAAGACCGGATATTTGCAGATTTATTGTGACCTAACCATAATACCTAGGACCATATTGAAGAAAAAAAGTCTGAAATGTCAGTTATTCGACTCCACACACTGAGTTATACAATATAAATCAATGACTCCACAGTGTTAATCAGCTGTTATGGCAAAAATATTCATATACATATTATCTTTAAGACCGGGTATAAAAGAGTAACTATAATACTGTGGAATATAAGCGGCTGTTCCTTAAACTGTAGATTATTATACAAAATTCTTGTAAATTTTTATATCAAAATTTAATTCTGCTTGGTTTCTTGTTGGTTCTATCCTGGAAAGTATTGTATTTGTTGAACCTGTGTTATAGTGTTATAGTGCACTATAAATAACTTTCAATAACTTTCAAATATAACTCTATATTGAACCAAAAATAGTAACCTACGAGTATTTTATTATTATATATATTATCTTAACTGAATAGTTGCGTTTAGTTTAAATATCTAAAGTAATATTGTATCTAAAGTAAGTGTTGGTCGATATTTAATTAAGTCTATTTTCCAATTTTAACCTAATATCGACATCCTTATAAACTTTGAAACCTTATGTTCAACCTTTGAAAGTACTAAACAGGCTGCCCTTATCGCTACATTATTATTTATTTGGGTTTATCTCTAGGAGTACGGACATTTCAGAAAATATTAATTGTGGTCGAAGTGCTCCAATCATTTAGGATAAAAGCAAAATATTGTTTTATCATCTGTTACTTATTTATATGTATAATTTTTGAGCTTTAGCATATTGTATTTAAATAAAGAAAAATAAAAGGCCGTCAACGCATCTGCGATTCCCTCCCTGATGTTGCAGCTGTTCATGGGCGGCGGTAGTCACTTACCATCAGGTGAGCCGCATGCTCGTTTGCCCCCTCTCCTATAAGAAAAATATAAAAATATAAACGAAACGTGTTTTATTTTCAGTTAATTTATTGTTAACTAGCTGTTCCCAGCGACTTCACCCGCGTGTAATTCATGGTTTTAATTTTATTGCGCGGAACCCTAATTCTTATTATAAAATATAAGTAGCATACGTTACTCCTTATAATATCAGCTATCTGCCAGTGAAAGTCCCGTCAAAATCGGTCCAGCCGTTTCAGAGATTAGCCGGAACAAACAGACAAACAGACAGACAATAATTTTAAAAAGT